ATTTCTTAAAATCTATTGATTGGGATCGTTTGATTGTTATCTCCATGGTCATATAGGCAATTTTAACATAGTTTCCTCTAATATTAGCATTTGTGTGTAGCTATACATATGAATTATACTTAATTTTTTATATGAAAAGGGCAACTCATTATATCTTTTAAAAAAATTTTTGAATTTCTATTACTTAGAGATATTAAGTTTTAAATTAAAATAAATGAATACAAAAAAAATCTTGAAGAAGAAATATTTTATTTTTTCATTTATACTATTTTGCCCAAAAAAAATTCAGTTGCTAACCATCTTGATTAATTAAACTAATTATAAAATGATTGATCATAATCAGCAATCTTCAACATATTCTTCATTACCTTTAGTTTTATCTTCAATATCTGCTAATCTCTTATATTATTCATTCTCAATAATAAAAATGGATTTTTAAATCCAATTGTTTTAGTTGTATTTCATTAAACTCTAAGCAGTCAATACATAAGAGCCGTAATTGTTTGATAATTTGAGATTAGGAATTAAAGCAGTGAATTGAGTTATTGAATAAGTATTTATTTCTAATTTTCTATCCTTCTAATTAATACATTATTTTAATTAAATAATATAGAATATTTATTTTTCTTTATAATTATCAAAATTTTTGATACAATCTTGGGCTTTTGGCTTTATTTATTAAGTGGCATCTTCAGATATTTTCACAAATTATTTTCTTCACCTAAATTTAAATGAATTAGAAATTTTAAATTGGTGAAATTCAAAAGTTAAAATATTAATATGGTGCTAAATAGGACGAAATTCCAACAGATGCATGAATTATGAGATTTCTTTTTGTAAATTATGAAATCTCTTACTGTCTATCGAACGTTGGTAAAGTTTAGGAACTATTTATTGTGATTTACTCTATATTATGCTTTGATATCAAATCTCCAAGTTTTTCATTAAGATGCTCTACATAATTGTATAGATAAGATTCTATTTCAATGACTAACTTTCAGATCATTTAATTTTATCAATATTGCCATAAAACTTTGTTTTGTAATTAAATAAGAAACCTTCACTTTATTTTGCTCAATCATTTTTGTCCTTTATTAATTAAGTTTCCCATCATCAAAGAAGATCCTCAATGCTTTTTTTTGGCAGCTTTCTGTTCAATTATAGAGTTAAGTAAAAATGATTAAAAAATATACATATAAAGAACAATAAAAAGAAGAGCAGGTAACCATAAATTAAAATAAATTTAGCAAAGATCAATTAAATAAGAGAAAGACGATCAATAAATTTCTAAAGTCAAAAATTGTTCTACAAAATCAATAATCAATTTTTTGAAAATTATTTGATATTTTCATTAAAAAATTCATAAAACAATATAAGTGCTTTGAAAATGAAAATATGGATTTATGAATTTTATAATCGTTTTTATAATAAAAATGGCAGAATTGTGAATAACATTATACTTGAAAAATATTGGTACATCCTCAATACGAAATTCTGAAAAGAGGTTATTAGAAATAAGCCAGGAGATGTGGTTGACTTTTTGCAAAATATATTAAAGCATTATTAAAAAATAGAGGTTACTTTTTTATAACCATTTTAAACAATTTTTAGTAATCAAATCTTCAAAAAAATTATTTGAATTCTT